GATTGTTTGGTCTGCGGTTACGGAGGTAAAGAAACTTGCTCATAAATCCGGTCATTGGACAGATGACCACACAAAGTTATTGTTCGAGCTTTTGGTACCGGTTGCAATTGCATTCATTATTTGAGATGCATTTGATCTAAAAATTTTGTCAAAATGTATGGCAAAGACACGATCACCACCTGTTTGTTGTAAGGTATAAGTGGAGTTAAGATGCATATTACAAAAATAAGCTTTTATATTTTCAAAGTAATAAAACTATTGATATATCGAGTGTGCGCGTGTTACGACGCTTGTTAACGAGACGATTTTTACCCGGTTTTTACCCGGGCCGGTGCCGGCTAAGTTTGTTCACGAGCACGGTTTGTACGTTTGTACCGACCTCAAACCGTTGCTAGCGCCGGTGTCGTTAACAAACATCCATAGTGATCCATACCTTATTAACAACAGCATACACACACAAAAAAAAGTGCCTAGAGCCGGCGGAATATTGTCTCGTTAACAAGCGCCCGCACCACTCTTTTTTTCTGTTATTATAATATAACACGATTTTATTTGAAAATTTAAAAAAGACGGCGTATATAGGTTTTAAATTATTCTTAATTTTTTTTATTAATAAATCAATAATAAAAGTTTATTTATTAAAAAAAATCTTCCGGTTATAACTCTTCAGTATTAACGATAATACATTACTTGCTTAGTATTTTTGTATAGAAATCATCAGACCCTATAACTAATCATAAAATCCTAAACTTGATGAGATTGCGACGTTTTATTATGAGTTCCGATGTCATTTTTCAGCTCCATCATCATACCTTGGATATCATCTAGGGCCAGAGTCCGTGCCAAGATGAATCAAAAGCCTACATTAAATGCGATTGCGTCGCTTTATGCCAGAGCAGAGTTGAATTGAATAGTGCAAATGCAACTAAGCAAAAGCCCGTGAAATCGATGGTGACAAATGCGTTACTGTGTGTTCTTTCTATCATGATGGATCCACGAAGTAGGCGCCTCATTTTTGTATTATGTTTATAAGGATCATCATCACACATTAATGTTCCCACTACTGGAGCACAGGCCTTCCCAATGGATAGAATAGAGAGATGGGGCCGTGACCCACCACGTTGGTCTAATGCGGATTGGTGGGTGCTCACTACTACAGATGCAGCCGGGACCAACGGCTTAGCGTGACTTTCCGAGCACAGAGGAGATAATAAGTTTTTAGTCGCCCATCCAATGACAGATCATTGTGAAAGTGGAAGCTAAGCAAGCTTCGACGATCACAGACCGAATGCGCTAACTAGCGCCATGCTTCGGAGCAAGGAGATACATTAAGCCGTTGGTTCCAGCTGCATCTGCAGGCAGTCGTTAGCAGCCATCAATCCGCATTGAGTCCGCGTGGTGGGTCACGGCCCAGGCTTCCTATTCCATCTGTAGGAAAAGCCTGTGCCCCTGCAGTGGAGGGACATTAATAGACTGATGATGATGATGTCAACATAGTCTCGACTGTTGACATTCAAACGACTTATCAGCTGCTGAAATCTCAATTTTCTTTTGCTTACAGATAAAATCAGATTTGCTACGGAAATATTAGTAATTGGTATAAAAATATCAATTGTAGTATTTGCAATACTTATCAGACCGTTCCGAAGGAAGTTACAAAATACCTAGTTGCAGGTTTTTATAGTTTTAGGGCCGGATAGAAATTCAAACAAATATTTAAATTATTCAGATCATACGTGGAATACTGATGGACGTCTAAAAACATACTATACTTAATATTACTATGCTCCTTACCGTTCTATTTACTAAAGCAAACAGCAGGAGTTCATCGCTGCAAAAGCACTGTTATACAATTTCAGAACACTGTTTAACAACCGTATTCAACACTAGCATTTCGTCGATATAATAAAAAAAATCTCGTCGAGCAACTTATCACCTCGGTTGTGATATCAATAAATTCGCGGGTTATTCTTATCACCTGCTTAAGGCCATCCATAATGGACGAGGTAATATCTGTATCGGCATATAATTCAAACGGATACAGCGAAATTCATTTTACAAGCAGGTTCTTCGTAAATCACGATAACTGCATGTTACGTATCAGGAACAATGATTTAACATTGTTAACCGAAGTTTATCCAGTGAGATACGTCGCTGCATTCATAAATTATATTCTGTTAAAATGCCACGGAGCATTTACAAGTTCTATTTGAAAACGATTCATTTGTTTTGTATAAGCTCATATTATAACATCTTTATGATCACTAGTGGTTTTTTAAATTACATAATTTGTGATTCTATATCGCAAATTTGCTATTTATTAGTGTTTACGAGGTAAGATTGAAAAATATGAAAATTATATGAAGAAGGCGTGTTTGTAGGCAGTGTCTCATTAATTTGCGCGAGCCTCGTATTTTTATCTGTAACTACTGCTATTTCGAAAAATGGACTCAAACTTTTTAATAAGCATTATTAATGTGATTCGCGATTGCTACCCACAAACGAAGTTAAGGATCTTGATGTCTTTTAACGAATGACATTTTATAATGCCATTGAGGCAGTTAGATCTGTCGAGCATTCAAAAGATAGCTTCCGAGATCCAGAATATATGAATATAGCGTTCCGTGATTTATTACTGTTAAAACTATTAATTTTAAAACCATAAACTTTTGTGACTGCCACTTTTATGCTTATTTAAATTCATTTTTCTTCCAAGAAAAGCTTCTTTATGTAAAATAAATAAGGTTTTCTTGCCTAAATATAACTGCAAACGAACGACAACTTCAAAGAATTTATACGCAGATGTAATACTAAAGGTTATTAAGGGTGCGACTCTATTACTAGTGCAAGCATTTAACTCAGTCGCAAAGAAATATGAACACAATAAAGGCATGCTGAGTGCGAAACATTAACAGTGTAATGATTCAACAGCCGTGTCCGACGTGAAATAAGACTTAATACTGACTACGGAAGCACGGCGATACTATTAAATTTCTCTGGTGAACATAATAGAAATAGCTCTTTGCTGGAGACGATTTAATTTCGAGGTACACAACGAGATCAGTACAGCGTAAAGTGCAACGAAGGAAACAAGAAAAGGTGACATGATAATATACACAAATACATTTGATAACTACGTGTTTTTACAGAGTGTTATACTTTTATAACACGTTTCAAAAATAATAATTTTATTACAGCTCTGTAAAAGCACGAAAAAAGCAAATTCCTATTCAAGCGTAGGTAACCCAAAAGTGTGTTGTTATTATTATTATTATCAATAGTTTAATTGACATTTTTTGAGTTTTAATATAATAATAATAACAACACACTTTTGGGTTACCTACACTTGAATAGAAATTTGCTTTTTTAAGAAACATGTAGACAAACACAATTAGAAAGACATTAAGAAAAAGTTTTTTTTATGACAGTTCAACAAAAAAAGTTTAAACGTTAAATTTTAAATGCCTTGATTGGAAACATCATAAAACCTATTTAAATCGTTCGGAATAATTAAAATTGTTATCACTATTAATAACATAATAATGAATTCTAATATTACAATTGTCGATGATTGTTAGCAATAAGATGTGTATCATTGGCCAATAAATAAATAAGGAACTTAATAATTAAGTTGAGCATAATAAGCGGCCCGCGAAGCTCGATGGGAAAGATTCAGTCATACTTAGACAAGTCTTGGGAAAATTCTTTCATAAAGCGAACGATGAGTATTCAAGATGCATGATGAATTGATGAGAACAGACTGATCGATTGCCGTAACGACAATGCCGCATTAAAAGCACCACACGCGTATACCATATTAAGAGAACGAGTGAAAGCGTTGTCTGCGTGTTAAAAGAACTTATGGAATAAGTTAATACCTACGCAGCACAATCAAACTTGTCCTCTTGACCCGTAGAAAGTTTCGAATTATCTCATCTAAGTTCGGGAATGTCGAATAAGGGAATCGAATCTGCTTAATCTCAAGTCTTCTTCGAGTTTTTCTCTTTCTTTCTTCTTATTATTATTATATTAATTTGGTCGCAAACATGCGTGAGATTTTGTTTCAATCTTGATGACTTACTTAATAAATACAATTTTATCGTTGCGCGGGTCGCACGATGATATCAGTGCCGTTAATCTATTTCCTCTTAGTTGAGATTGAATTTGTTTTAGTTTTATTCTGGCGATTACAGTAAGGTACCACGAAAAGTAAAAGTATGAACAATACTAATTCACACAAAGTATGTACTAAATGTTTGTGTAGAGAAGGTAAAGAAGTTTGTAATAAAAAGTGTAAGGTTGTCTTGCATCTCATTCACGGTTTAGGATTTCTATACTTTTTGTTTGTATTCATGAAATTTTCCCAAATGAATGGTCGGTTATGATTCTTGGTATATTTGGTATCAAATACCGATTCAGCTTTCTCGCAACCTATAGCAGATGTAGTCAATATTACGTTCACTGCACCAGTGGTTTCAACTCTGGATCAGGACTCAACTACTACACTTAACATCAGTTGACACGGAGTCAATGGCTAGCACATATTTCTAAAAACACTTCCATTTGTAGCTAGGATTAGGAGGATGATGTCAGGGTAGGTAACGTGGGAGCTATACCCCACACATGTCTAGTTGCTAAACAGAGGAAATTTTAATGAAACATAAGTGTCGAGATCTACAAATCTTGCATTGCATCAAAGACATTTAATTATAGTTTTCTCAAGTATCATGATTGTGGTAAATAAAAGCTTCGTAGTATTACAAACAGTGGTCTTGATGATTAATGGAGCACACAATAAGATTGTTGAGAAAAAAATGTTAAATGAATAGGTAAAAATATATGGGAAACGGCATATCTCAAGATCAGACGGTTCTCGGCCTCGTCCGGCCGGCCGGTGTCGGTTCGCGCTAGCGGCCTGCGTCCGGCGCGGCCGACGGACGGCGGCGGCGGACGCGCAACCGTTCCGAAGAAACCATCTCTCCCTTTCTCTCAGGCCTATAGCGCGCTCTCTCCGTCCTTCGGCGGCTCGTTCCTCTTCTTCTTGCAAGGTTAAGGTTACGTCAGACGTGTTATGTTATAACCGTTGGGGCGCACTCCGCCAAGTTCAGTGTCTCGTCGAGAGTGGCCGCGACACAAGGTTCGCGACCAACGCTGCGCGCGCGACACTAGGCGAGGACTGTGCCAGCCTGTGATATACGAACAGTGAAAAGTTCATGAACTTGGGTGTTGAATTTGTTTGAACTGTATCGTTTGACGCACTCGTCTGAAACTTTATCCTGTGACCATTCAGAGGTATGTAAACAGTAGCAACTTTTAGAACATATCCTAACGAACAATTATTTATTCCCTGATACCAGGAATAATAGTAAAGAAATAAAAATTTCAAGCTAAAAGTATAGCTACAGGATAGGGCATTTGAGTGCATCTTGTTCAATAAACTGGTTTATTAAATATTTTATGGTGGTTTGGTGGTTGCGGCAATCAAGGACACGACACAAGAGTGCACGGTAGATACGAGATAATTAAGAGCTTGCAAATCAGGGATGAACCAGAATATTAAATATTTTTTTAAGTACAGATGAACAGAAGATTAGTTTTGAGACAACATTTCAATTATAAGTAGGAAATACATACAATTAGTAATACAGTAATAGTAAAAACGTGAGCTTCCTGAATGAAGTTATTTATTATGACAACTCAGAAATGTAAGAAAATTAGAAAAGCCAATAGCTTAACAGTTAATGAATAAATTTTTATTTATGTACTTGGAATAAATTGGATATTTTTAAATAAAAAAGGAAGAACTTAGAGAAATCCCATTCTTCTTCGAATTATTACTACAAGTCTTCATGCTAATAATTATTATTATTCAAACATATTGTATTATAATTCAGATATATTAGCTTGTCTCTTACTAGTCATATTAACTCAAATAAATTATCTTTAAGTGATATACAAGACAAATTGAGTCTTGTAAATGAATAGAAGCAATTACTGAGTATTATAGAGACAACATATATTTCAAAGCTATATTACCTATAGGATAACCATTAACAGCGCTACGAATGATACTATTAACATCGTAGAAAAATTCAATAATAATCGGCGATAGATTTTTCATAAAAGAATGACGATCGTTCCCTGTGTACCGTTAGCTTACAACAGGAGTGTTTTTGCACAAGTGACGCCGATCGTTATTAATGTTAACATCGATAAAGAAAATTCTCAGCAATGAGGGAAGTACATTTTATTATGCGCTACGAGAGCGTAGATTCAAAACCTTTTCTGACTAATTTCATCCATTCAATTATATATTCGCTCTAAAGACATTTTATTTACAATGAGAATACACGTTTACAATTCACTTACATTTAAATAAAATAAAAAATAAGTCACAATCATTTTCAAACAAGAAAAACATGTAGGTATATATTTTTATAAATATTAAAATTTAAATATTAAATTATGTAAAACTCGTTTAAAATTAGAATCTCCGTCATTATAAATTTTCATCACTCCATTAATTACGGCAGATTGAATCTAGGTCGTATCCTATTCGCAACGGTGTATTTCATTCAATTGCTAAACTGCGAAAAAAGGCTAAGAAGAATCTAAGTAAAACTAAAAACGTTAGTCACCAAAAAAAAGAAAAAAAAGAACAGTGCGGAGCTTAATAAAGTTTTTGAAGTTGAGCCAGCAAAACAAAAGAAGAGCAGCATCGAGTTAATTACAATTAATTATAAAACAGTTGTAGCGGTGACCGCGTGGTGCCCGCAGCGATAAGCTCGGATGCGCGTACGACTGCGGCCGTTGCTATATTTAGAGCCGCTTCGATTGGTGCGGCATGGAGGATTTATCATTTCATTCCATCCATTCCATTTTGTGTGGAACCCCCTTTTCTAAATATATAGTGTAACTTGAAAAATATAATGAGATATGGTCGCAATAGTTATTAATAATTAGCTTTGTAAACCACAAATTCCCCAAAAAATATGATATTGGAAATTGGAGTATCATAACTAAACGCCTAAAGATAACGAGAAGCCACTAGAATATTTTGTGTAGAAATAAAAATATTTTAATAATGATACAAAGAAGAAGGAAGATTATTTAATAACGTTTTTTTAAGAAAATAATATTCGAGTAAAACTAAGTAAAATTATAAAAGCTTTGGAGAAAAATTTAACAACTAACCAAATCGTTTGCTACGTTTGGTGATATATTTTTTATATTGCTTTCTTTTCCCAGATATGTATTATGCGTATGTCATTCGGACTATAATAAAAAAAATGTCGGGATTGGTACATTATAGTTAAACTACTTTTATATGTTCCTACGTATAAAATTTGCTAAAAAATAATATTTGGATTTGCGGTAGTATATCAAATAGATGGACAACTAAGTAGGATGAAATAGTATTTCAAATTATAGTACAAATTTAATTTAAAAGCTCAATATTTCATGAAACGCTTAAGCATTATGTTCCTTAAATGCATTTACTGATTAAAAGGACGGACTAACCTCATTTATGTATTATAGTAGGCTAAGTTACAGAAATAAAATATTTTGTAGTTGTATGTTAGAATTATTAGACTATATTTAGATTAATAGGCTATTTATTTAAACAGGCTGTCCATTGTGATCGATAACAAGCTTCTCTCCCTAAAGTTCGTATACTCATGTATGAAAAGGTTGTACTGTTCAGTCCAATAATAACAATACCAGTTCAACATAAAACAACATATGAATAGGAAAAATACAAATCACTTACTTAGTATTTGACATTATGGTCGCCCAATAAAACTATCAGGCGTCCCAATAAAACCACGACAAAACCCAAATAAAACAGTACAGAGCGAAACGAAAAGAAACGCGGCACACGAAAAGGACTCGAGATAAAGAAACGTTAGAAACGGCCGCTGCTCCGATCGGACTAGCATTCCACTCTTGGATGCCATTTTCAAATTAATTTCGAAGCGGTAATTTTTCTTTTGTACGGAAGTTATAACTTTGTGATCAATAATGATTATGATAACTTACTTGCTATAAAAAATATCAACACAAAATAGAGTCAATTAAAACTTGCTATAATAAAATCTTCATGAACATTGCCACAGTAAAAATAATTATAAATTGGAATTATCAATGGTTTTGTTTAATATAAAAAAGGTGTATGAGTAAAAATTACCAAGTGTTGTACAATTTTCTATAACGAATTAGTTAAGAGAACAATTAATCACGCTAACCGTAGAACTTTTCTCCCCTTTCATTTGACATCCCCTCACCATGCGACAAAAAGAATACAAAATCCTCAATTTTTTGCATGTTATAGAGACGGATTACTGCATTCGAACTAATTTTACTAATGATTTAAATTTCGTTCATTAAAATCGGTTGAGTAGTTTGACCACTACGGTGGACGATTAAAATCTTTCCATTTCTTTTGACATGCCGCAGTTTGGTATAAAATAATCACTACATTACAAATGGATGTCTAAGCTAATAAGTATTAATTATTAGTAGTAATTATTAGCATTGATTTTAAAATAAAACAAAATGTCTCGATTTTCAAAGTTGATCGCACTAAGAGAGCGCGGTCTCCGTAGCGAGTTCTCTGCATACAAAAGACATCAACGCAACACCTAATGTTCGATTACACTATGGTTGCAAAGTCAAAACATGCGCCTATAATAAACAAATCTACTGCAATTTTTCGTTAGATCAATAAACTATATTTAACAATATTATAAGCGAGAATTCTATAGTAAAAATACAGATTTTTCATTTAAAATTTTATTTGATCTACGAGCAATAAATCTAATTGTTCTTATTAATTCATTTGTTTTGAAGCGCCCATACTCACTTTTTAAATTATTTATTGCGTCCATGGGTTACCTACCAGGTTTGTGATGTACTAGTAGGGCATTACGCGATAAATAATGTAGATATAAATATAATTTATTTACAGCCTACATCGTATCGCTGCAGGGGGTATTAAAAAATAGACGAGACGTGAAGTTTTCGTTGGATAAATATTAACCAGCTTATAAGTAAATGTAAATTGTGCAACTGCAACCCTAAATGCAAGTATTTTAAAATCGATCCAAAGCTGCTGGAATAGAGCTTGTTTCCAATTACCTACACATAACATTATGGGGCACCAATGTCTCCCCTACTTTAATCCTGTTTATTTGTATTTAACTTAAATCGTGTGGCCTACAGTTTTGAAATTAGAATTAACTTGTTGTAGAATCGCAAGGGTCTTTATGGCAGGTGATAACTGTCACGAAGTTAATGAGATTTTCTGTAAATTTTATTAGTCACGTAATTTTTAACTGTTATTTATTAATAATTATGACTTTATACTTTGTAATGTTATTTTTGTTCTTTTATGGGACTTACCGTAACTTCAGTAGGTAGTCATTTGTGCAAAATTCCCATTATTATACGAGCTGAGGATAAATATTATCTGTCTCATTTTCATATGAGTATTACACACGTACAGTCTATATTCTATATCATTGCGACATTTAAGGAATATAAATACCTACAGTAAGCTGCAATCATTTTTAGTGAAGGAGTTTTAATGAAAAATCGCGAGTGCTTTATAAAGATTATAAAAAACTTAAATCAATCTTTAAAGTTGTACCTATAACGAACTAAAGTATTTTAAAACGATGTGCGTTATATGCTGTGTTATTATTTTCAGTTAACCTATGAAAGGAAACAATGCTTCTTTTTTGATAGAATCTTTATATCTACAGAGTAATTTATTGAATCAAAAGGCTATAAGAATCGGCATGCAAACGCATTTGCGAACAAAGATAAAGTGAATTAATCAATGCCAACGTCGCTCGTTAAACTTAATTAAGAAAAAGGACAATGCAAAAGATCAGTATTTGTGTGTTCAATTGAACGAGAAAAATGCAAAGCATTTCCCACGCGAATCCCACTTATGTATTTAGGTACGCAGCGGGTTGTGGGGTATCTAGGCTGGCGATTGCGCTGCGCACAAAACAACTGGTAGCCTTTCGCAGCCTAGTAAAGTATAACGAACGATTTCGTGTGCACGATCGGGTTCAAAGGTCGACATTAGTAAGGGTCCTCGCTGCCCTTGCGCCGCGCCGCTGCAAACACGCTGTCTTGTTAGTAGGAATGTTTTAATACACTTGTATAGGATAATCAGATGGTAGTTTGTAAGATAAATGCCTTGAGAGAGAGCATTAGAAAATTTATGCAACCTTGTTCGCATCAAATGTTTAAATTCAATAGATGAATAAATCAACGGCCTT